ACATACACACACACACACACACACACACACACACACACACACATTCTCACACTCACACATAGAAATACATACTACTTATTGTAGGCCAGTCGTTCAAATGCACTACACTCAAAATTTTGACTTATAAAAAATATTTTAAAATTACAGTTTCTTAGTTTGTGTGATCCATCGCATGTGCTCAAAAGGTACTTTGTTAAAATTCGAATTGTAAACGTTGAAAAAAAAAGCAAATAAAAATGCGAAAAGCAGAGAAAAAATTGTTTAAATTTTTTTTAAAAACAACAACATTAAGAAACCCTCACAAAATTTTAAAGAAACAGATCTTTCTCTCTCTTGAAATGGAAAAATTCTGCTGTCTGGACTTGATGTGTTTAGACAATTTGCCGGCTTTATATGACGAGATGAACTCCTCGTTACATTATACTTCGTAACCTAGAGGTTAAGGTGTTCGCCTCTCATTCAAAGGTCCCATGTACGAATCTGGGTTACGACCGAAACATTTTTTTCTCTAAAATTGTCTCCTATCACCTCTATTCCTGCTCTCCAACTATAATCTGTCGTCTGCTCTTGTCTCCACTTTCTGCCCCCATCCCCTCACCTCCTTTGCTCCCTCCTCTGGGCTCCTGATTCTTTTTGCAGCCTTTCTATTGCTTCTCTTTGGTTCCTGGTAAGAAAGATCTACACCTAGCCGTCTCGGATAAGAGCCTAAAATCTCGGAGGTCCCGTGTGCATGTTGAGCACGTTAAAGATCCCTTGGTGGTCCAAAATCGATAAGAGTAGGCTTTGGCCACCACCAGGGCAAAATTCAAAATGTCCTACCAACTGAAAATGTTTAATGTGTCCTCCGCGCTCACATGACCTTATGCATGTTGCGAGCGCCGTAAAACAATCACACAAAAAAACAGAACAAAAAATAAAAAACAATACCTTGGTGTTGAGGGTGCTGATGTTCTCAAAGGTGACCCACTGGTTCCCCAGGTTGCCATAAGCCACTTGGCCCAAGGGGTCCAACTGAAGTGTTTGAGTCATTCCTCTGTACAAGTACTCGCAGATCTGTGGAATGGAAACCACGATACGTGGGTTGTTGAAAGGTGCTCTTGCGTGGTTTGCTCCTTCTTCCTAATGAAACTTCTATCTTCCTTATATCTATGTACATGTGGGTGGTTGATGGGTGTTTTAGTGCAGTTTGCTCCTTCTTTCTCATCAAACATCTATCGTCCTTATGTTATCTATATGTGGGTAGTTGGCAGGTGCTCTAGTGTGGTTTGCTCCTATTTTCTGATCAAACATCTATCCTCCTTATATATCTATATGTGGGTGGTTGGCAGGTGTTCTAATGTGGTTTGCTCCTTCTTTCTCATCAAACATCTATCGTCCTTATGTTATCTGTATGTGGGTGGTTGGTAGGTGCTCTAGTGTGGTTTGCTCCTTCTTTCTCATCAAACATCTATCCTCCTTATGTTATCTATATGTGGGTGGTTGGCAGGTGCGCTAGTGTGGTTTGCTCCTTCTTTCTCATCAAACATCTATCGTTCTTATGTTATCTGTATGTGGGTGGTTGGTGGGTGCTCTAGTGTGGTTTGCTCCTTCTTTCTCATCAAACATCTATCGTTCTTATGTTATCTGTATGTGGGTGGTTGGTGGGTGCTCTAGTGTGGTTTGCTCCTTCTTTCTCATGAAACATCTATCGTTCTTATGTTATCTACCTCCTTTTCTTTGTATATTACTCCCGAAAAACATCTCTATTCTCCGGTACTTACATGACCCATTTGTGTTGAAAAAGCTGTAAAACTTTGACTAAAACTAAAAACTAAACTGAAATCAGAGTGAAGAGTGAAGAGATTATGTGCTATGCAAAAGAAGAAAAGCTTTAACAAACACCTCTTGTCAAACACAAAAACTTCACAAACATCTCAAAAAGAAAGAGTCAAGTTTCTCTTTTAAGTCCTATGCAAGCTTCGTGCGCCAAGAGAGATAGCCCAGTACTTTCCCTTGACAAAATAGCATTATAGCAAAGATCGTACACAACGAGATAGTTCACTCCTCTCTTGGAGCCAATTAAAAAGTGTCCTCAAAATGTGGTGGCACCCTCTTTGAAAAAGTGCGGACTTTTCGAACAGTTACCCTACTTGTGTGAAAAACAATAAAAATCGAAACTAACAAACTGTGCTATTTCTATTCTTCTTCTGGAGAAACGACAGAGAGCTTCAGAACAAAGACTGCAGCACCATCTGACCCAATGCGCGGACTTTCGTGGACACTTTTTTGGCTGAGTGAACTATTTTGTTATGAACGATCTTTGTGTAAGCATTGTTCTTAGCATTATACATATATTCTACACTCTTTGTAGAATTCTATGGCATTAAAAGAAACTATTGATGTCTTTTTCCTTTGAGAGTTTTTTTTCCTTCTTCTAGACAAGTTTGTCAATATCTGCCGAATGCACACAATCAATCAGATTTAATCGAATGAGTGGGACAAACGTTACCATTTTGACACAGTTACGCCGAATTCGACTAAATTTGACTGCGGCCTTCAAAACCAAACATGTTTGTTTATCAAGAATCGGTAGCAATGTGCCAAAATGGTATTTTTATTATTAGTAGTATTATTTTTATTTTTATTATTATTATTTTCCCCATTACTACTAGAATCTACTACTACTATCATCATCATCATCATCATCATCATCATCATCATCATCATCATCATCATCATCATCATCATCATCATCGTCATCATTATTACTATTACTATTATTTTTATGTTCACTATTGCTATTACCATTATTATTGTGTCCAATTTTACTATTACTATCATTATTATGTTCACTATTACTATTACAATTATTAATTCTATTATGGTCAATATTACTATTAATATTATTATCATGTTCACTATTACTGTTACTATTATTATCATTATTTGTTATAAGACGTGAACATCTCACCTCGTAATAAGACAACATCCCCGGCTCCCCAGTAAACCTTCCCTTGGTCCCAGGTGTGGGTGCCGGGGCTCCAACTGACGTGTCGCTCACACTGGCCAGTGTCCAGGAGCGGCCGAAGGCGGGAAGGCCCATGACCAGTTTCTGGGGGGTCAGGCCCTGGCCCATGTACCACTGGACTGTGGATTCCTGGGGACGGCGGGACAGGGGGGAGATACATGTAATGAAATTTGTTGATGAATTAATTGTTGCAATAACTATAACATAGAGGTACGGGAGAGGGAGGGGGGGGGCATGGGAGATACATGTTGTGAAATTTGTTGACGAATCAAATTATGGCAATAATATAGTGTTATGGAATATTCGGTCTATTGTAGAAAAGCTATTTTTATAAAAACCCGTCTCTCTGGATAAAAAGTCGAGATATTTGCGACTGAAGAGGTTGTGGGGTAGCCCGGTTTCAGAGATTAAATTTAAGAGAAAATGGCTGCCAAAGTTTGGCAATTTCTATAGTTTGAGAATCTTTGTAATCTAAAAATTTACATTTTCTCTGCCTTTGGTACACGTTTTCAGTTAAATCTACACAGAAATGTGTTTTTAAATGGACACAAAAGGAGTAGAGACCCCCATCCCCACCCAAAAAAATAATATTTAAATGTAAAAAATAATAATAATAAAATAATAATAATAAATAAATAAATAAATACATAAATGAATAAATAAATAAATTCTATAAAAATTGCTCAACGTTCGGAAAAACACCAGTTTCTTCCATTGTATTATTATTACGAGCGCTTGATTTCCCCACGACGCCTCACATATTATTACGACCAAGCCATCAGAGTAGTGCGGCTTGGTCCACTGACCACTGGGTGGTTGGCGGGTGCTCTGATGTGGTTTGCTTCTTCTTTCGTATAAAACATCTATGGTCCTTATCTCCCCTTCTTCTTTTTAAAGTTTTGTTACTCTCTTGTAACAGCTCTAATCTTCTGGCGCTCATAATATGACCTTATGCAGTTGCGAGCGCCGTAAAAACCTTTACTAAAAAAAAAAATTTTAACATCTATCGTCCTTATCTCCCCTTCTTCTTTTTTATGTTTGTTACTCTCTTGTAACACCTCTAATCTTCTGGGCGTTGGTAGCCTAATGGTTAGGCTACCGGACTTGTAATCGTGAAATTGCGGGTTCGGGGGTTCGAGCCTCAGCTCAGTCCAACGTTGTGTCGTTGGGAAAGGCACTTTACACGAACTTCTCTCTTGGATCGGTCCTGTCGAAGACGGACGTTAAACTAAGAGGTCCCGCTCATTAAATTTAAATAACCTAAAAGTGTTGATAGGGGCGTTAAATCCATACCATTTTTTTCTAATCTTCTGGCGCTCATATGACCTTATGCAGTTGCGAGTGCCGTAAAACCTCTACTAAAACTAAACTGACTCTCTTGTAACACCCCAAGACAAGTCTTCTGGTGCTCATATGACCGTATGCAGTTGCAAACGCTGTAAAAACCTCTACTAAAACTAAAACTAACTCTCTTGTAACACCTGTAATCTTCTGGCGCTCATATGACCTTATGCAGTTGCGAGCGGCGTAAAACCTCTACTAAAACTAAACCAACCACTGACCACATTAAGGTCATCCCCGGCCGGCGCGGCGAGAGGGGAGGCAAGTCCGGTGACCTTCTCCCAGGTCCCGTGGTAGTCGTACGTCATGATGCTCACAAAGTCCAGGTACCTGGACACACAGTCACGTAAAGCGTTTTAGAATTGTATAATATATAAATATATATATATATATATATATATATTATAATAATATAATATAATATAACATAACAACATAATATAATATAATATAGCTATATAATATAATGTAATACAATATGTATAATATAATATAATATAATATAATATAATATAATATAATATAATATAATATAATATAATATAATATAATATAATATAATATAATATAATATAATATACATACATAACGTTAAGGAAGCTATGCTGAGTCTTAATAACAAATGTCATCTTTAAAAAATATTTGCTAGATTTGTTCCTTCTTTTCCATCAAACATCTGTCGTCTCTGCCTCACCTTCTCCTCTTCTCTCTCTCTCTCTCTCTCTCTCTCTCTCTCTCTCTCTCTCTCTCTCTCTATCTATCTATCTCTCTCTCACTCACTTTCTCTCTCTCTCTCTCTCTCTCTCTCTCTGTCACTTTCTCTCTCTCTCTCTCTCTCTTTCTCTGTCCCTTTCTCTCTCTCTCTCTCTCTCTCTCTCTCTCTCTCTCTCTCTCTCTCTCTCTCTCTCTCTCTCTCTCTCTTTGCTGTTATCGTTTCTTTATGTTACTCTCTAGTGACACCTCTAAAACACTTGCATGACCTACTACGTTGCCACAGTGCCGTATAATGTTTACTTAAAGAAGCTATGCTGAGTCTTAGTAACAAAAATGTTCTTTTTAAAATTTACCTTGGATAATTCCTTTTTTTTCTGTACTGCATGGATTTCCATCATACATATATCGTCCTTATCTCACCTCCTGCTGTTTTTTCTTTCCGTTTTTTTAAAAATCTTTTCTCTTTGTTCTTTTGTTTATGTTACTGTCAAGTGACACCTCTAATCTTCGGCACTTGCATGACCTAACTGTGTTTGCAAGTGCCGTAAAGTGTTTACGTTGACCCTATCCGTACGTCGTGTTTTACTATCGCATCCTTACGACATGGGGAACTCTGTGCCACCACTTTCCAAAAAGGAAATTTACTCGTTAATCCGATCCGCACGCTTTGCATAGCAGTCTGTCAAAATAGTTTTTTAAGAAATACTGGAAGTTTCAAAGAGATCTTCGCACTAGAAGTATTCTAAAATGTGAAGAATACAACCTCGGGGGTGCAAAATGACCCCTGGACGAACGAAGAAAGCGTACGTTAAAGAAGCTAAGCTGAGTCTAAATAACAAAAATCATTTTTTTTTTATTAGCTGGATGTGTTCCTTCTTTCACATCAGACATATATCGTCTCTATTTCACTTCCTCTTCTTTTTCTTTCTTTCTGTTTTGTTGTTGTTGTTGTTTTGGGGTTTTTTTATGCTATTCTCTACAAACACCAAAAAAATTCGGCACTTTAATGACCTAACCTCGTATGTTGCAAGTGCCGTAAAATGTTAACTAAAACGGAACAAAAACTCACTGGTTGAGCGCCGGTACGTCATAAGCTTTCTCCGCTCTTGTGATGCCAGCGGCGACTGCTGCCGCCAACAGCAGGGGAGGTCGGCCCGTTCTGGAAGCTTCTTCTTGTACCGCAGTGCGGAACTCCTGAGATGTA